GTCTGCAGCTACTGCCAACTCAATAAGGGGGAAAGGGTCTTTTATACAGATCTAGGTTCACATTCCAAAGGGGACTCATCTCTGTGCCCCTGGTGCTAGGCCCAGTTTCTCCCACCTGTATCTCCCAGATGCTAGGCCGTTGACTGTCAGTCTTTTATCCCCTTTAGCTAGTCCCATATCAAGCTTGGATGCAAGGCTGAATTCTTACCTTGTCGGTAAACCTTTGGTTCCCAACACTCTGTTAACACCCTCAGCAGTGTACTTTGTCTGTGGGCATGTTCTGCTCCCCATTGTCTCTGGTGAATCCTTTTACTGTCCCTGCACCTTTGCCTGTACCCTAGTGTTATATGCATAAATAAATAAATCTTAAAAAAAAAAAAAGAATGCTGGAGGAAGGCAGCAGAAAAGCAAAGTGCTATTGCTGGACTGAAATGCAGGTTTTAAAAATCAAGACAGAATTAGATAAGTAAAAACAGTTATAGTCAGATGCAATTTTTCTCTTACCAGACAGTTGGAAAGTTTAGTAGTGGCACATGGTATTGGCATAGCGATTAGGAAAAACCCAGTCACAGTCACTGATGATGGGAGTGTAATTAGAGTGACCTCAAAGAGGGCTACTAAATATTGGACAGTATTTATTAAAGTACAAATGCCTTGATCTAATAATGTCCCTTCTGCAATTTATCCTACAGGTAAACTCAACCACAGGTGAAAGTATCTGTGAAAGAGTACTACTGCAGTATCAAACAGCAAAACAAAAAATAATCTAAATGCCCATCAATGCAGGACAGGTTAAACAAATTATGAGAAATAGGTGGATGTATGAGGAATCTTTCATAAATGCAAATGGGAGGGGGCTAACATGCAAAGTGCTTCAAGGCTTAATGTGAACAAAGCAATACTCTTGCTATATTGCCATTTTTGAAAAAAATCCAGCACACACATACATATATGAATATGTGTGTATGTGTGTATATGGATACACACATACTACACAAATTTTTCTGGATTTTATATATGTATGGCTGTATTTTCTTATATAGGCATTAAAAGAAAACTTCTGGGCCCTCCTTGGTGATGTGATGGGCTAAAGCACACAGTACTATGAAGCTATCCACAGCCACTACAGCAAGAGTTCGATCCCCAGTCAGGGAGCTGACTCAAATGGAGCAGCAGACCTCTCCTGACCCACCCGCTGCGCCCCTCAGAGTGTATTTAAATAGATCTGCCTGTTCTGCTCCCCATTCTGTCTGGTGAATATTCTCACCACTCCCCACCCCACCCCACATATGTGGCCTGTACTCCAGTTCTGTATGCATAAATAAGTAAATCTTTAAAAAGAAAAAGAAAACTTCTGGAAGATTAACCAAGAAACAAATCCCGAGGAATAGCTCTTAGCTGTTTGGGCGTGACATGGGAAATGTGGCTGGAATGAAGAGTCTGAGGGACAATTCTATAGTATGCCTTGTTAATCTTGTACAATTTTTAACTCACGTGACTCTATCTACTGCTCAAAATTTACTTATTTTAAAAGTAACATAAACATGTTCCTTCCCTGGCTGCCAGAAGTTCCATTGCCATCATGAAGGACACCGTAACTGTCTGGGCCAGCAAGTTCCAAACCAACAAACTGCTTCAGGGGAAACAAATGTTCATGGACCCGTCCTTCAGCTTGGGAAGGCCACAGCGTCGAAGTCAGAAATTCAGGGAAAACGAGCTAAAACTTACAAGACCACCCCAATAGGTCTGTCACACAAGCTATGCAACCTTTGTCACCAGACATGGTCGGATGGAGGGGAAATGCTCTGAAAAATCAGACTTTCCACGCTGACTTATGTTATGACCTCCCTTTTTTGTATAATCGTAATATAAAATATTCTGAGCAACCTTCAGTTTACAAATGGATTGCCTCAGCTGCATAAGGCTCTGCCTGGCCCAGACAAACAAGCACTGCACCAGGGCGAGAAATTCCTCTTGAAGTCAAAAGTGATTTTACAACTGGCTGATTAAAAAAAGCAATCGGCTGTTTTTGCAGTCTCTTTTACAGTGGGATGGAGGAAAACCCAAATCTCATCACTCTACTATCTCACATAGCCTTCTATTCAGTTTCTAAAGAATCACTCAAACTTTCTACTATCTAGCCTTTAGATATGGAAATTCACCCAAGTAACCCATTCAGAGCTATCAGTTTTTCTACTACTAGAAGGAATTCACATAAGCCTTCTAACTAGTTGTTCAAGATTCTACTATCTAGTCTTTAGATAAGGTCATTCGCCCAAGTCTCCTATTCAGAGCCAATTAAGTTTTCTACCGTCTAGACTTCAAGGAAATTCACTTAAATGTTCTAACAAGTTTTCAAAGAACTTTGCTATAATTCGATTCGCAAGGTATTTCCCCTTCCTGCCCTCACTTTACTTTACCCCCTAGATGTCTCAATGAGAATGAAAGTGTTAAGTAGTAGATAAGGTTTAAGGGACTTTATTTTGGTTAATCTTCACTGTGGTAAATATAGTAATATTAGCCTTAAACTTTGTGAATCTATGTACCTGTTTT